ACTTTTATTTTGGATGAATCAGACTGACTCCAGCAGAATCCACTGGTCCATTTTCACATCACTTAAAGTGGTGTTATAACCCTACTAAGCATTAGCACCATGTATGAAATAAGTTTGCCAAAAGATTTCAACTTAAAACTCATCCAACCTGTACATGTAACTACCAGATGTAGGAAATACAGGGTATGTATGTTAAATGACCTCATAGGGAAGATATCAGTCAAATGCTAAATACAAGAAATATTAAAGAAACATGACTTTTTTTATTAGTTTCAAGTGTACAAAACAATGTTATAGTTAGACATTTACACCCCTCACAAAGTGATAACCCTTCCAATCTACTACCCCTCTAACATTGTATATAGCTGTTAAAATTCCATTGACTTCCCTATGCTCTGTTCCACATTTAATATATACACATACACACAATTATAGTTGACATTCAGTATTATTCAACTTCAGCTTCAGGTGTATAGAGCAGTGGTCAGGCATCTACACAGTCTATGAAGTGGTCTCCCTAATAAATGAACAGATAGAACAGAAATAAACTCAGAGATATAGGGAAGAAAAACTGACTTGTTTTGTTTTACAAGTAGATGTTATGGGAGGAAAGGAGGAGGTGGCAGGGCTTGGGGATTTGGGGGCTGGGGGAAATATTGAATCAAAATGACTTAATAAATTGTAATGTGTATTTAGTTTGGATCTGAATTTGGACATAACACTTATAAAAAAGACATTGAGGAATATTTTGTTAGGTATAATAGTATTGTACTATCTTTTAATTTTTAAATTTTGGGGTGAAGTGACATGACTAACGGGGGAAAAGTAGAAGATATGTAGATGAGCAAGAATGGCCCAGTGTTGATCATTTTTAAAGATAGGTGATAAGGGTTCATTGGATTTATTCTGTGTATTTATTAAATAACATATATTTCTCTAAAATGTCTATCAAACCCTTACCAAGCTAGTGTTTTATTGAACTTTTGACCTCTGCCATCTGATAGGCAAATCGTGGTATTTTATGGTAATTTCTATGTTTTTA